CCTCCCCAACCCTACAGGCAGGGCATAGTTTGGTAGTCTTCTTTGCCAAAGCAATTTCCTTCTCTTTGTGCCCTTTCCGCTTATCCATGACATCTCTGCCAAAACTGGAAGTACTCAAGGGGGAAAAACATCACTATTCATATGTTTGTAAAAGTAAGCTAGTATCCGCACTCTGCCCATAAGGGTAACAGTAGGGAGAAAAAGAAAAAGTCAAAGGTTGAATAACGACTTCCCCAGTGTCACTTGTGGAATAACTGGCAGAGCTTACAATATAACCCACATGTCCAAACTGTCAATTCTGTATTTTAATTGCATCCTCTATGCTGAAAGGGCCTCACACTGCACAACAGGCTGGGACTTGCACAGCCAAGTACTCTCATTTTATACCTTAAAAAACAAACAAACCAAAAAACAAAACCTATTTCAATCAACAATAGATTAAGGAGAGGAGTGGTGCAAGAATCACTCTCTCTGCCTGGAGTGTTGAAGGCACATAATTATTGACTCATCATGAGTCACAAGATACCCAGGGGGTGGCAAAGTGGTATAACCACATACACAGTATTAGTCACGTGAAAAGCAAAGAAAGGTTTACATGCGACTGAGCCTTCACTTTGAACAGGTAACACCTGTTAAGGAGTCACTCTTACAAGACTTTATGACTGGCAAGTCCTCTATTTTACAGTACTGTCTAAACAGCAGGCAGCAGATATATGTTGAGAAGCCAAAATAACAATGATGAATGAAGAAGCATATATAAAAACCCAAGCCCATAGTAAATATAAACAGCATTTTAAATTCCCTACTGTATTTGTCATTGCTGACTTTGGGATTATATTCAGCAGTCTGGAACGCACAACCCCAAATGATATGTCCAAACTAGTGATATACTACCAAGTGGAATGGATGTTATTAAAATAGTACACTGTTTAGTTTCATGATGGAGGAAGTGGATAAAAAAAAAAAACTGTTTCACTCAGCAAGCTAAGCCACAGGGCACGATAAGACAGTGATTGCTCGCTTCTAAGCCACAGCAAGGTTCTATTTACTCCAGTTCACGAACTAGATAGATCAAGGTATATAAATTGTTTCTGCTCAAAAAGGAACTAAATGCTTGTTCACACATCAAATACAATTGAGTATTTAGCTGTGGTTAGGGCTGTCTTGGACTGGCTAAGTACTGGGAGACAGTTTTATCCAATGTTTGTTCATAATCAGTACTGCAGTATTTATGTTCTCTATGCCCAAAAGCCATTTGTTTCAGCAAAAGACACGGGATACGATAGAGCTTGGGACCAGAAAGGGCATTGCTTTTAAGGGGAGGAGGTGTCCATTTGTTAAAAAGTGTTCTTTACCCAAAAGATTTGCTTTTTATTAACTCCTGCAGTGAATGAAAGCCAAAGGGTTACAACTTTGTGTTAGACCACCAGGGGTAAACTTTTTTGGCACGCATATCACAAAGTAACCCCACATCCTCCTTAACTGGCACTCCAATCCCCCTCCCAATCTGCTGCTCTGCTTTCTGCTCCTTGCCCTATCTCCTGCTGTGCTGTCTGTCCCCTCCCTGATCTGCCACGTGCCACACACACTGCTATACTGTGCCACTTGTGACATGTGCACTGCAGGTTGGCTATTCTCAGGCTAGAGTATGAGGAGCAGAAAAGGAAACAAATTATAAACCAAAATGTATAGCCACAATTGGAGTACTGTGTCCAGTTCTGGACGCTGCACTTCAAGAGGGCTGTGGCTAACATTGAGAGGGTCCAGAGGAGGGCCACTTGCATGGTCAAGGGGCAGCAGGGCAGGCCCTACGAAGAGAGGCTAAAGGGCCTGAACCTGTTCAGCCTGCACAAGAGAAGGCTGAGAGGGGATCTGGTGGCCATTTACAAACTCACTGGCGGGGACCTGTGGGAACTTGGGGAGGCTCTGTTCCCCAGGCACCACCCAGAGTTACTAGGAATAATGGCCACAAATTGTTAGAGAAAAGGTTCAGGCTGGACATCGGGAGACATTACTTTACAGTTAGGGCTGCCAGGCTCTGGAATGGGCTCCCAAGTGAAGTGGTGCTCTCTCCTACCTTGGGGGTCTTCAAGAGGAGGCTGGACAGATATTTGGCAGGGGGTCGAACCTGATGATCTGTTTAGGTCCCTTCTGACCCTAAGCACTATGACGCTATGATAATGAAACCAAGTCTTTAGTGTCTGACCTAAGCGCAAAAAGCAAGCAAACAGGATGTGCTTGGGAGGTTCATTATTCAGGCTTCCTGCATCATCCTTCACTTTCAGACTTAAATACTAGGCCAAAATCTTTCTTGTCCTGCCTCTGGTATGGCCATTCACACCAGAGCCAAGTATGGATAACATAACATGTTACCATTCTGACTTAGAGCCTCACATGGAGTTGGCATGGTATAGAAAACAACACAAGAGGCAGGGCAATGAAGATCCCAGAGCCAAAGGACTTTATGGGCATCTTTACATGTGCTCCAGAATGGTGAGGGGTGAGACGGCACTTTGATTGGTGCCGTTCTTGGGAGCCACTGTAATTAAAGTGCCTGTAGCATCTAGTATATTTAGCGTCCTGTGC